TATACTAAACGTTCTAATTACTTAATTTCTTTTAATCCTGGTAAAGCTCTATGAGATAGGTGTTATAATCCCATTTTTATAGATAAGGGAGTTGAGGCATACAGAAAAAATGGATTTGACTAAGGTCATACAGCTAGTAAGTGTAGTCTGGATTGTATTCATTCATTGAACAAATGTTGATTGAGAGTCCACTGTGTTCCAGATACTGTGCTAAAACTCTGGGGGAAACAGCCATGGACAGACAGATAAGCTCCCTGTCCTCATGGAGTTGATTATATTCATGTAAGAAACATGATAGTAAATAATAAACATGTAAATAAATAAGATCAATACAGATTGTGAAAAGTTCTAGTAAGAAAATAAAAGAGTTATGTGTTAGAGAGTGACTTGGCAGGGATGGTAGAGATGGGGGCCTCTTTAGGTCAGTAGTTAGGAAGGGCCTCCCTGAAGCAGTGCCATTTGAGCTGAGATGGAAAGGATGAGACTGAGCCACCTGTAGCAAGTGCTGCAGGAAGAGCTTTGGAGACTGACAAGTGCTTGTCTTATACGCGGACCAGAAAGGAGGCCAGTGTGGCTGGAGCATTGTGAGTAAGGGAGAGGATGATACATGAAGAGTCTGGAGAGGCAGGCAGGGGCCAGATCACATGGTGCTTTGTGGGCCATGGCAGGGAGTTTTATTCTAAAAGTGATAGAAACAATGGAGGGTTTTAAGCAGGGTGGTGATGTGAGCCAGATCTGTCTGACTCTGAAGCCGTGGGGCTCCCATTACATCACACTGCCTGAAAGGAATTCGTAAATATGTTTGTCTGTCCATTGATCTAGCCATTGGGTATTTAGTATTCAGACTGGAATACACAAGGTAGATATGGTTCCAATCTCTTAGAGAAGGTTAGGGTAGAAAGGCAAGTAACCAGCTCTCTACAATGCAGTGTGCTAATTGCTGTGATGAGAAAAGTAGAGGGTGTGTGGAAACATTTAGAAGGATCCGCAATCCAGCCTGGTTGGGGTAGTCAGAGAAAACTTTCTGAAAGAAGTGATATTAAGCAGAGAACTAGGCTGTCCGTTGTGTGGACAAGATGGTGCCTATATGTCCTTTTACTCATTTGGGCTTGCCTGGTGTTTGCTGTGACCTTCTGAAGGCATTATATGCCTTTCTTTCTTTCTTTTTTTTTTTAAAACTTCTTTAGCTATAAATAGGACAAATTTTCTTACAAACGTTGCTAAGAATTTTAGCTGTGTACAATGTGAGCATTCTAAGCAGACCTCCATAAATATTTTATTGGTAGCTGAGTAATAGAATAAGGTTCTCTTTATAGGGAGCTTCTGGTCGGGGTAGACTTTTTTTGTTTGAATGAATGTTTTATGTGCTGTTTCTTAAAACATTTAACAGGAGGCTTTAATGAACCTACCAATTGTTTCTTGTGCTGTTCTTTAGCCACAGAATTGAGACCTTAAGTGTTAACAAGAGGGCCAAGGGCAGGCAGTTTGAAAATATACTTAATGTAGAATATGCGTATCAGTTTCTTTTATCCAGTCATAAAAGTGTGTTTATTATATACATATTACAAAATTTGTTTTTGAAAAATATTGAGAAAAAATGGTGTATATATATGTGAGGCTGTGTGTGTGTGTGTGTGTGTGTGTGTGTGTGTATGTGTATGTGTGTAGTTTGAGGCTTGTGTAACCATCACCACAATCAGAATGTGGAATAGTTCCATAATTCCCAAGTATTTCCTCACGTTGACTTTTTGTGGTCAAACCCTCTCCGTACTCTAAACCTCTAGCAACTATTGCTGTGTTCTCTGTCCCTATAATTTTACCTTTTCCAGAATGTCATATAAATGGAATCATACAGTGTGTTATCTTTTGAGACTGTCCTGTTTCGCTCAGCATGATGCCTTTGAAATTCGTTCGTGTTTTTGTGTATGTCGGTAGTTACCATGTAGTACTCCATCATGTGACTGGACCACTGTTTAGCCATTCACCCTTTGAAGAACATTTACGCTCTTTCCAAATTTTGGTGATTATTAGTAAAGCTGCGGTAAACATTCACGTGCAGATTTTGGTGTGAACATAGGTACACACCTAGAGTACACACCTAAGGATAGACTTGCTTGGTCATGTGGTAAGTGTAAACTGTTACCCAGAGTGGCTCTACCATCTTCATTCTCATCAGCAGCATGTAGAGTTCCATTTGCTCTGCTTCCTCACTAGCATTTGGTATTGTCAGTTTTTTATTTTATCTGTTTTTTTATTTCATATAAACCATTCTCGTAGGTGTGTAGCTTATGGTTTTAATGCAGTTCCCTAATGGCTAATGATGTTGCATATCTTTTCTTGTGCTTATTTGCCATCTATACATCTTCTGTGGTAAAGTTTCTGTTCAAATCTTTTGTCTGTTTTTTAAAAAAAAGTGGGTTGTTACAGTTAAAGTTTTGAGAATTCATTTATGTATTCTGGATACAAGTCCTATGTTAGATATGTGATTTGCAAACGTTTTCTCCCAGTCTGTATCTTGCCTTTTCATTCTTTTAAAGACCATCTTCCTTAGAGCACATGTTTTTAATTTTGATGGAGTCTAATTTACTGATTTTTTTTCTTTTTTATTGATCATGCCTTTGGTGTCATGTTTTTCTAAAAGTTATATAGTTTTATGTTTTGCATTTAGATCTAGTGATCGCATTTGAGTTAACCTTTGTTTAAGTATGTGGTTTAGGTCGAGGTTAATTTTTTTGCAAATGAATGTCCAGTTGTTTCAGTACTGTTTATTTATTTATTTTTTAATTTAATTTAATTTTTTTTAATTGTTGTAGTTAATTGAAGTTTACATTTCAAGTTAGTCTCCCATACAAAATTTTATACATACATTGTTATGTGATCCTAAATGCTCACCCCATTCTGTGACAGCACACTCCTCCTTTCCGCCCCTGATTCCCCATGTCCATTCAACCAGCTCCTAACCCTCTCTGCCTTCCCATCTCACCTCTGGACAGAAGCATCTCCTTTGGTCTCTTGTATCTACTTGACTAAGAGGCACACTCTTCATAAGAATCATTTTATGTCCCACAGTCCAGCCCAATCCCTGTCTGAAGAGTTGGCCTCGGAAATTGTTTTAGTTCTGGCCTGATAGAGAGTCCAGGAGCCATGCTTTCTGGGGTACCTCCAGTCTCAGTCAGACCATTAAGTCTGGTCTTCTTACTAGAATTTGAGTTCTGCACCCCACCTTTCTGCTGCTCCATCAGGGACTCTCTGTTGTGTTCCCTGTCAGGGCGGTCATTGGTGATAGCTGGGTACCATCTAGTTCTTCTGGTCTCAGGCTGATGAAGTCTTTGGTTTATGTGGCCCTTTCTGTCTCTTGGGCTAATACTTACCTTGTGTCTTTGGTGTTCTTCATTCTACTTTATTCCAGGTGGTTGGGACCAAATGATGCGTCTTAGATGGCCGCTCACTAGCTTTTTAGAGCCCAGACGCCACTCACCAAAGTAGGATGCAGAACATTTTTTTAATAAGCTTTGTTATGCCAGTTGACCTAGATGTCCCCTGAAAGCATGGTCCCCAGACCCCTACCCCTGCTACTTTGTCCCTCCAAGTATTTGATTGTGTTCAGGAAACTTCTTAGCTTTGGTTTAGTCCAGTTGTGCTGACTTCCCTTGTAGTGTGTGCTGTCCTTCCCCTCACCTAAGATAATTTTTATCTATTATCTAGTTAGTAAATAACCCTCACCCTCCCTCCCCACCCTCGTAACCATCAAAGAATGTTTTCTTCTGTTTTTAAACCTTTTCCTGAGTTTTTTTGATAGTGGTCTTATACAGTATTTGTCCTTCTGTGACTGACTAAATTCACTCAGCATAATAAGTTCCAGCTTCCGCCATGTTACAAGATGTTTCATGGCTTCATCATTGTTCTTTATCGTTGTGTAGTATTCCATTGTGTGGATATACCATTATTTGTTTATCCATTTGTCTGTTGATGGGCACCTAGGTTGTTTCCATCTTTTTACTATTGTGAACAGTGCTGCAGTAAACATCGGTGTGCATATATCTATTCATGTGATGGCTCTTATTTCGCTAGGATATAGTCCAAGGAGCGGGATAGCTGGATTGTATGGTACTTCTATTTCTAGCTTTTTAAGGAAGTGCCAAATTGATTTCCTCAATTGTTAATCTAGAGATTGTGTAATGATGATTTTCTGCTCCTGTTCTTTGGTAGCCCTGGTGGTGCAGTGGTTAAAACCGTCAACTGCTATCTGAAAGATCTGCGGTTTGAGCCCACCAGCCAACTCAATGGCAATGGATTTTGGGTTCATTATTCTTTTAAAGGAGTTCTTTAACCAGTGGAGCCCTGGTGGCTCAGTGGTTAAGGGCTTGGCTGCTAACCAAAAGGTCAGCAATTTGAATCTACCAGCCGCTCCTTGGGAACCCTATGGGGGCAGTTCTGCTCTGTCCTATAGGGTCACTATGAGTCAGAATCGACTCGATGGCAATAGGTTTGGTTTTTTGTTTGGTTTGGGTGGTGCAGTGTTTGGCAATTTGAACCTGCCAGCAGCCCTATGGGAGAGAAGACCCGGTGATCTGCTCCTGTAAAGATATAGCCTAGGAAGCCCAATGGGGCAGTTGTACTCTGTCTGTAGGGTTGCTGTGAAATGGAATTGACCCAACAGCACACAACAACATTATTCTTTGACATTTATTAACTGGATTTCTTTTGCAAAGAAGAGATTCCTCTTCTTTGTTTTTCTTTACTTGTTTACTTAGTGTGGAGTCATGAATTCTTTCTTTACTCAGTCATTATTCATTCCTGTCATAATTTATTTTGATGCTAAAATTGTCCCAAATTTGGCTAGTTGGAAGCACTAATCAATTCTTCTGGGTTGGCACAATTGCAGCAAAGGTAGGCTTTCTCCAATATTTAACATTTGAATCCATTTGGAGCCTTTAAAGCTAGGGACCCTCTGCTTTATTCTGTTTGCTTTAGATAACCCTTCTGTGCTTATTTTCCAGCAAATCACTGAATTGAAGAAAGAAAACTTTAACCTAAAGCTCCGCATCTATTTCCTTGAGGAAAGGATGCAACAGGAATTTGATGGCCACACTGAACATATCTACAAAACTGTGAGTGGCCTGCTTCTCGCTGTTGGCCTTGTGTCTCTTTTCATAGACATTCCAAGAAGAAACTCGATTAATATTTGTTCTCAGAATTAGCATAAACAGGTAGAGCTGCTTTAATTTAATTTGAATTGGTTTTGGGGAACATAAAGATACTAGGATGACCTTGATATTAAGCAAAAAGGTACAAGATTAACGTTAAGGGAGTCATTTTCTCTCTTTCTTCCTCTCTTTAAAATCTGAATTCTGACTTACCATTCTTATCTCAGTAGCTTTTTTCTAAGTTATTTATTGTTTAGAAAAAGACAGTGGAATGGTGGAAAGGCTTTGGACTAGAATACAAAGGTCACCGACTAACTTCTGTAAATGAAGGCAGGTTATTTCACCTCTCTGGGCTTTGTGAGTCAAGTGGTAATCTGTACTCATAGGGTTGTTTGCATGGATTAAAATGAGGTGACAGATGAAAAGCCCCCCAGCACATAGTGAATGCTTGATAATTTTCATGATTGCCTTACTGAGGCTTTCTATGGCAGCCCAAAGTTAGGATCATCAGTTTTTCTCTGATGTGACTTTTCTATATCCCTTGTGTGCAGCTTATAACTGTACAGAAGAAAAAAAAATCTATTCCCATCGGAAGTCTTGACCTGCAGGTTTCTGCCTGGAAACAAACCTTGGTTCTGAAAGTTGAAAAAAGAACTTGGCTTTCTTGAAAAGACATGAGTACAAACAATATTTCGGTGCCCATTTCTTGGCTTTCTTCAGTAGATTAGCCCTTGGCCTGGAATTATTCCATCTTTTCTAAAGTTTGCACCAGTGGAAACTTTTGAAGGAGGAAAAAGAACTCTCATCGAGTTTCAGCAGATGAACTTAAATTGACTTCTTCTGAAGAGGGCTTGTACTTTACTTCTGAGCCTTTTCAAGAAGTGAAAAGCTCCCTTGTCCCTTAAGACTTTTTTTTCCTCAGCATTGCGGGGGGTGGAAAGATAATGAGGATGTCCCTTTTTTTGGAAGGAAATGGTGATGTAATCAAATTTTAAAGTAATATCAATAGCCTAAAATATATTATATGTAAGTATGGTGATCATATGTTTCAGACCTTCCAGGGTGAAGGGTAGCTTTGTGGCAGGAACTGTCCTGGGCATTTTTCATTTGTTATCTTATTTTAATTCTCGCAACAGCTTTTTGCAGTAGAGATTATCTTCATCTTATAGGGGAGAAACTGAGGCTCAGGGAAGATCAATAACTTGTTTGATGTCATATGGTGGGTATATGAGGTGGACTTTGAAACTGGATTTGCCCACCTCATTGTACCATGCTGCTTCAGCTCGTCTTTTCCGTTGTCTGACTAGATGATTTAATTTAATTGCATTTCTTTTATAGTTTACATTTTGAACAGGTGAACAAAGCTTAAAATTCAAAAAATATGAAAGGTATACACTGAAAACGATTTCTTCCACCCTTGTCCCTTTTCCCCAGACTTAATCAGTGTTATTAGTTTCTTATGCAGAGATGTTTTATGAATACACAAGCGTAAGTGTGTGTGTGTGTATAAATGTATAACCCCCTTTTTTAAAATATAAGTGCAAACATGTTATTTACTTAGTTCTGCACCTTGCATTTTTTACCTAAGAAATATTTTGGATGTCTATCCTTATAAGTAGTTTAAGAGCTTTCTTATCCGTTTTTTAATAGTTGCATAATATTCCATGATGGAATATTTGGTTTGGAAATGATGATCAGCACGTATATGTTTATAACTTGAAACACTTGGCTTGAGAAAAATAGTCTGATGGACACATTGGCTAGTTGGTTCATCAGAAAGCAAAACACTCAAAATACGTCAGCTTATGCATAGAAGCTTTCTGCCCTTTTGAGAGCAAGAGGAAAGACTCCTCTATATGAAGAGTGTTTCTGCAGTTTTCACAAAACCACAGTTGAAGACATCATGCACAGCCAGTCTGTGTCCTTGATGCAAAGAAGTTTCTTCTAGAAAAATGTTCTACCCATACTATAGCTGAGTTTTTTACTTCCTGTTGTTTGACAGTGAAGAAAAGGACATTATTTTGATCACTGTGTCCTACGTACTTCTCATTTAACTCGTTTAGTCTTCAAGTTCCCCATGTCAGGTGGGCTTTATGTGTTTCATTTGACAGTTGAGGAATCTAAAAGGAGAAGCACTGCTTTCTCCCCACTAGACTTGTGCTTCTGAGAACAGTTACAGGATCACACTTTTAGATTCTTATTTGATGCCAGCATGAAGGCAAGGGCCTGTGTCTGTCTTGTTTACTGCAGTAGCCTTGGTGCTTAACACAGTGCTTGGCATGTCACAGGCGCTTGGTAAATGTCTGTGAAGGAGTGAATAAATGATAGTCCACTGACTTGCTACAGTGTCCTCCTGAAAAATAGTAGAGGCAGAATTTGAACTCATATCCTTCTGGTCCCAAAGCCCATCACTTTTCCATTATGGCTGTATTTCTCAACCTGGAGTACTCATTCCCCCAGGACTGCTTGGCAGAAAGGAGGAAGGCACGTCCTCTCCCATTGTAGATTTTACTGGAAGATTTCGGGTGGAAATGTTATTTTTCTTTAAAATAATGTGCATGTATTATGGAGGAGAATGTAAAATTGATATAAATTATTAAAATAGAACAGGGAAGAGATTTCAGAGATTCAGAGAAATCTTAAATTTACAGTAATCCTCTGCAAACTGTGCACCCAGACTCCCTGTCCCTACTATATGTGTTCGTCTAACACTCTATCTGGGGTACATTTGTGGACATGTTTGTGAAGCCCACCACTGCTCCACTGTCTCACACTGTGATCCATTTGCCAAAGATTTTGTCTTTGGATTCTCATGTGAGTTGTAAGCCTAAGGCTGCATGTGACTCCCTTTGTTTCAGTCAATTAAAAGGAAAATAGTTGGTTGGAGAATGCTGTAGTGTCCCTTATAGACAGCTTGCCCCATGTGGTGTGGCTCTTTTGTACATTAGTACCCTGAAATCTTATACTGAAAGCAGACAGGCCATGATGCGACCTCCCACTTATCCATCCACGTGTTTTATTTTTTTTAAAGCTGTAATGTGTTCCCACTTCTGCAACAACCACACGCATGATTGTAAACAACCAGAAGTAATTGCCTTGGAATGGTAAAAGCAAACTGCAGAATTGCTTGTAAATTTGCTTGGTGGAGGGCAAACAATTTTTAAATCAGCCTCACTTGTATGACATTTATGCCTTGATGTTTGAATGTTCTGGCTGTTAGAAGTTTAGAAAATTTACATAATTGTTCCAAGTCTTGAGAAATCCAGGGTTTGCTATTGAGACCACCAGTGTTTAATAATACCCTTTTCCCTGTGCCCTCAGGCTAATGAGGTTTCAAATCTAACATCTGCCTATTACAGGCATTGGGTAGTCAGTCCTTGCTGAAAGTGGTTTCCACACTGTAGCTATTCATATGTCCTGTATTTTACACTGTTTCTTTTCTTCCCTAATCTTGTCTGGAAGAACATTGAGCTCAAGGTGGAAGTAGAAAGTCTGAAGCGGGAGCTCCAGGAGAGAGAGCAGTTGCTTATCACAGCCTGGTGAGTACTTGTCATCCTGTCAGAAGCTTGCAGATTGCACAGTGGTTCTGTTGGTAGAAGCTAGGTTGGTCAGTAACATAGAACCTTGTGCTTGTCTAAGCCGGTTATTCTCCAACTGGGCTCTGAGGATACCCAAGGAGGTTTTTGTGTTTATTTAATTACTTATTTTTCAATAAACTTTTAAAGTATAGCATACTTATAGAAAAATGAATGGATTTTAGATGTACAGTGTGATAAATTTTCATAAAGCAAATATACCTGTGGAACCACCATCCGGATCAGGAAGCAGAATGTTACCAGCCTCCCAGAAGCACCCCTCGAGCTTCCAAAACCTATCCTTCTCCCCCAGAGATAACCACTGTTCTCACTTCTATCACCATTATTTTAGTTTTCTTGTTTTTGAACTTTCTATAAATGGGATCATACAGTATGTACTATTTTGTGTCTGGCTTCTTTCTCAACAATGTATTTGTGAGATTTATCCGTGTTGTTAACTGTGCCAGTAGTTCATTCATTCTCATTGCTGCAAAAGCCCTAGGGCTTTGAAGAGGTCCTGAGAGGCTCCTATGGTGCAGGACACAGGGAGATTGAGGGTGGGGCAACTGGAGTAACTCGTTTATTTTTTGTTTGTTTTATGTACTAGGGTCCCTTGTAATATTTTGCTTGATAGAGGGGTTCTATTGCTTAAAACACACTTGAAGACTATTCTTATTAATTAGTCATTTATTCAGATATTTATCGAACAACAAGCAAAGTTCAGAGAATACAGCCTGCGAGTCAGTTGTTGTTTATTCATTCATAAACATCTATTACATATTTACTTGGGCCGTGGACTGAGGATGTGAAAAGAGATATCCCTTTGCTCCAAGAGCTTATCACAGGCTGGTGAGCTGTACAGCACGCCTGTAAACAGAGTGTAGTGGAGGTTCAGTGATAGAAGGTACTTGTGAGTAAAGGGTGATGCCAAAGTGTGCTCAGTTTTGCTTGGTGAGAGTGGAATAAGCCTTCCCGGACTGACGTATCAAGGATCTGGCCCAAAGAATATGTGGGAATGTTTCATTTGTCATGGCAGCAGAGCTGCTGATGGATATAGTGGGTCAGGAGCATGGAGTCTTTGGCGTAGGACATAGTATGCCAAAGTATACTTGGGCCAGGCTGGTATAATTCCTTTCATTGCCATAGCATCCAGCAGCTGGAAGTTGACCCACTATTAGCTTTGACCAGACTAGAGGTTCCCAGGCCCAGGCTTGTTCTCTGAACTTACGCTGAACTTGCATACATAGTCCATGGTATTTAATGAAAGAATGAATGCAACTGGATTAACAAGTCTTCTTTTGTTTGTTTGTTTTTAGTTTTCTTGGAAGCACATTGTTCTCTGGACAGGGAGACAAATCTACTTTACTAAGCCTTCCCATGTGATCTAAAGATAGATCAGTAATAGAATTTGGTTGTTTCATATCCAGCACTCTGCCTGCTGCAGGTCTTGATTGGGACTTGTTTTTAGCCACGCATGTACATGCATGTGGGAACTAAATTCGCAAAGGCTTGTGTGTACTCCTCAGTACTGACACACAAGACTGAGTTTTTTGGGGGCTTTGCACACGTTTCTATGTGTGTGTTCCCAAACTACTCAGCCTGCTATGTAAGGCCCTTTTTGGTCTGACTGGCCTTATTAAATTATTCATTTAAAATGATTATTAAGCAGTTGTATACTGTATTGAACTAAGTTCCTGAGGATACAGTGGTGACCCGCACAGATACAAGGGGCTTACATTCTAGTGGGGGTGATGGTAGTAAAATAATTACAATAATAAATGTATAAATACAAATTGCAGAAGAGCTGTGAAAAAAATGAAGGGAGTTATGAGAATTTATAGCAGTGGGAGTAAATATATAGATATATAGCTGGGATGGCATCCCTGAGGGAGAAACATAGATGAGAGCTGAGAGATGACTAGGAATTAACCAGGTGAAAGGCGGGGGGAAAGTGTTCCAGGAGAAGGGAATGTACCGAGTGGAAGGGAACTGGGCCTGAGAAAATATGAGAAGTCTAGGGGACCTTGGTCATATGATGCAGGGTCTTGAGGCCACGCTAGAGATTTTGGTCTTTATCTTAAGATCGAACGGGAAGTGACTCGATCTGATTTATGTTTTTTAAAAGATCACTCTTTATGCTGGATGGGAAATGGATTGTAATGGGAACATGATTAGAAGCAGGGAGACAGGTGATGAAGATGAGTGGATGGGTTGGAAAGACATTCAGAAAGCAATAAGGACTTGGTGAAGGATGAGAAGGGAGATGTTAAGGATGACTGCTAGGTTTGAAGGTGAAGATCAGGAAGATCATTAGGAATGTTGAGTTCATAATGACATAACCACTCCAGCTTTATCTCCCCCAACTCCTTATCGCAAACCCAGCTCATGAATACTGAAAATGGTCCTGTTCCTGGTGCTCTAGATTTGTCCTGGCAGACCTCTTCCCCTTTCCCTCCCCTCCCAGCCAAAATACCTTTCCTATTGCCTACTGGTTCCTAAAGGTTCATTTTGAATCACACGTGGCTTTCTCTAACCCACATCAATCTCTTCATAAACTTCTTGGCATATAACGACAATCCCATATGTTTTTAGCACTTTTCAGTTTCTGAAACACTTTTATATTCATTTGAGTTCCATCATTATCCTGGGAGATAGGTAATTCTCTTGGAATTACCTTTATTTTATAGAGGAGGGAATTCAGGTCTGAAGAGGAAAAGGGCCAGGCCTAAAACCACCCAGCCAGAAAGATGCAGAGCTGGGATTAGAACTCAGGTCCCTGACTTCTAGTCCAGTGCTAGTACTTTGTTGCATATTCTTTTATTACTTTCATATGTGTGATTCTCATTTCTCCTACATGACCATAAATCTCATAAGACCAAGATCCACTTCTATTCTTTTAGTCAAGTGTAGAGGAAGTGGAAAGAGCAGAGGATCTGGGTCTAAGTCTGTGGCCTCTTAGCCCTGAGTTTTCTTCTGTTAGGGGGGCTCTTACTACCTACTTCTTAGGGCCATTGTATGGATTTCGTGATATAGTATGTGCAAAATAGCTACCATATATCTGCTAAATGTTCCTTTCCTTTTGGTGCTGTCTATCCAGTACCTAGGGGTATATGTGTGGTAAATACTTGTTGATGGAAAATATCTTTATAAATATAATGCCCTCAACTCCATTTTTAGTTTCCTGATTTTTATGAGGAGGGAGTGGGAGGTCTTGGCCTTGCCACAGGAGAATCCCCTGCCTTTCTCTAAGGAACTGTAATTGGAATGGAAAGAATCAAGAAAAAAATGTTGAGGGTTCTTACCCGAATGGGGTTTGTGTCCTGGAGCAGTTGAGCCACTGAAACATACTTCAAGTCAGAGGGTGAGAAAGTTTTTTAGGAGGTGTTCACCACCGGGGATCCGACAGCAACGCAGGCTGTCTCTATGGCATCCCAAAAGACATTTTTACATTAGAGCTTATATATGATTTTTACAAAGGTTAGAAGTGTCATTATTCATGACAAGGTAATTACAAGAGACTCTTTATTTTATCATACTAAAGAGATACATGCTGCACATTTCCTGATCAGACTAAAGATATACATATCTGACATCTGGGCTCTAATCGTTGTCCTGTGGTGGTAAGCCACAGGTGGCCGGACAGAGCAAAACAAAGTCATTAATAAAGGTATGCAAAAAAGGCAAAGGCAGAAGCAAAACTTACAGGTTCATCATGGTGTTAGTTATGTCAAGCTCTCCGTTGCCTATTTTGAAAAAGAGAAAATATGCTGTGGAGTATTAGGGTCACAGGGTTAAAAAGGGCAGCAAAGGTGGTGTTTATAGAAGGTACTTACATTGGGTGGAAAGCTAGATTAGACTACTTTCTCTAAGCTTTTCCTCTCTTAGGTCCTGCTGTCTATCTGGTCTGTTGGCCAGCTCAGATTCCACAAGGAAAGAAAGGTTAGAGGGAGAGAGCTAATATTTGTTGAGGCCTAACTTTGGTCCCAAACCCTGTGCCTGGCACTTGACATGTTTTACTGCATTTGATCTTACAAGAGCTATGTGAGGCACCGTACTCCCATTTGATTGAAGAGAAAACTGAGGCTCAGAGGAGTAGGAAACTTACTCAGGTTGGTGAAGAGCTGGGACTGGACTCCCGCCTAATCTAGTTCCAGAGCATACTCTGCCTTGCTGTGAAGTAAACATGTATATGTTTATGGCTTTCTGTTGTTATATCTATCATTTACAATAAGGGGACATTAAAAACCAAAGCAGTCGTATTGTTGAGAGTAAGTTTTATCTCTGTGGCTTTAAAACAAACAAAAATAATAATTCCATTAGTAGAGGAAAATTGCACCATACTGCTGTGTATAAATTTTATTGCTATAGTAACTGTAAAATACAAAGATGGTAAATGAAAAGTTGGAACATTTATTATTGGGAATATATTTTATCGGTGTACCTAGAACACAAACAAATTGAGTAATACCAGTACTTCAGCCTTTTGGCAATGTACATGACTCTAACTAAAACACAGAGATTACTGTCTGGGCTGACAGGAAGGAGACAGTATATTTGCACCTCCGGTGGGTGGGGGTAGAGGGCTGAGGATCGGGGTAATGGAAATGAGCCATTTTATAAAGGAGGCTCTGTAAAGCCTGAGGGCTAAAACATTTGCATTAGTTAGGGGAAATTCAGAACTGGAAAAAACCCTTTATCCAAGACTTTGGAAGGAAGGGCTTCTATCTAGTTCACGATTCTTTCAGACATATGTAATGCCCCTTGAGGGGTGATAGAAATGATGGTGAATCACTGTGAATTCCAGACAGTACTGATCAAGGAATGAGCTGGGAAAGTTGGGACTGAGGGTCTTTAATGGCATTAATCAGGAAGTTACTATGAGTCGCCATAGGGTCCCTATGAGTCGGAATTGACTCAATGGCAACAGGTTTTAATCAGGAGGTGGCAGTGGTGGCTTTGTTCTGGCCAGCTGATGATCTGTTCTCAGCTCAGACAGCCAGCAGATGGGTGGAATGAGACCTCTTGCAGCAGCACAGTAGGCAACAGGCTAGCATGCAGTGCACTCAAGAGAGGGAGGAGCTCCACATGCATCAGCACATTTAATTCTAAGAGGTAATCATCTCATTTTTCAAGTGAGGAAACTGAGGTGTAAGAGGTAATTTACTGAGGCTAGGTAATTTACCCAGAGTCACACTGAGGACATAATGGAGTAAAAATCTGGAAGTGGATTTGTCCAGCTTCAGAGCCTATGTCCTTTATTTCCAATTGTTCACGCTGAATTCCATTAAGATGATTTCATGACACTGGGGCCTTCTGAAGGCTTATTGGTGAAAGGAAAAAAAGATGAATAAAGTCTTTATTTGCAGGCAACTTGTGTTTGAGACTTGGACAACAAGTATGGCCCTCTTGACTTTCCGTTGTTCTCAGTAAAAAATTCACATGGCTTGTACATGTGAATTTCTGATCACATGGCCCTTGGTTGGAAAAATTGTATATACTCCTAAAATAGGGCATGGGAGGCTGGTGGTGAATAGATTTGTTCTGTTGCAGTTTTTCTGAGAAACCAGCTTTAGGTGGAGCCATTTCCTTTATTATTCTGTCTTTTGGAATCCTGCAATCATTTTAGAAATCTGGTGAAAACTGCTCAAAGAATATTTGTCTCATAAATTCGTACTTGACACTGTTTTTCTTTTGGGGAAAACTGAAATGAATGGCATCAATGGTTGTGATCCTTTGTCTGATTTTGATGTGCTATTCCCACCACTGCTTGCTTGTCAAGCGGAGAGAATACCCTGTGGTGCCAAAACAATGTAAACTCTGGCATTTTATATTAGAGTGACCTGGAGTGTAGGCTGCTTGTGTAATCTCCTATCTTCATGCCCTAAGTGGTAGCTAGTGCTCAAACAGATTGATCGTGCTGTATTTAAAATGCTTCTGTTTGGCAGAAGATGAAGCATACAAACCCTTAATCCCTCAGATTTAGCTTTGTTGCATATTGCTCCTTTGCACATTGGTTTGCTGTACCAGCTCTCCACCTTCCCTACACCATTGATGGAAGTGTACTTTGCTGGAAGCTTCCTGGTGAGAAATTTGGCAGTAGCTATCAAAAATCTTAAAAGTGTGCTTACCTTTTGACTCAGCAATTCCATTTCGTGGCATTGATCCTAAGGCAATCACTGGATAATGTACATGCAAAGATGTTTTTATCATAGCATTTCTTATAATAATGAACAGTAACACTAGCATTTATTGAATGCCTATTCTGTACCAGGCACTATTCTCAGAGCTTCCATAAATATTATCGGACAGATGTATAAAATTAGTAACAATCTAAATATTTTAAACAAACTATTGTTTTAATTATAGTACATGTCATACAGTGGATTCATATGCAGCCTTTTAAAATGCTAATATAGATTTATATTTGTTGACACAAAAGATTGTTTATTGTGGTGGTGGTGTTGTTTTATGCTGTCAAGTCTGTATGACAGAGTAGAACTGCCCCATAGGTTTCCTAGGCTGTAATGTTTACAGGAGCAGATTGCCAGGTCTTTTCTGCTGTGGAGCGGATGGTGAGTTTGAAGCGCGGACTTTCGGTTAGCAGCTGAAGGCGTTTAACCATTGTACCACCAGAATAAAACCATATCACAGATACGTACTGTATGGTTCTGTTTTTGTAGAAAATATCTGACAGGATATATACTGTTAGTTACATTTTTTTGTGTAATGAGATTATGGATGATTCTTACCTTTTTCTTTTATCTATGTTTTTGAATTGCAAATATTAATTAAAAAAAAAAAAGCTCAGCACAGGTCTGTAGGGGAAGTGGCTAACAAATATTCTTTGTCTCTTTGGGGCTGTTGAAATTACTGTCAGACTGTCACCCTTGTGCCTTTTACATCTTTTGCCTCTTTTTGCAGCAAAGCAGTTGAGAGCTTAGCTGAAGGGGGTGGCTCTGAAATTCAGCGGGTGAAAGAAGATGCTCGGAAGAAGGTGCAGCAGGTTGAAGATTCCCTAACCAAGAGGATACTCCTTTTAGAAGAGGCAAGTCTGGAAACCCTAAAGAGGAACACAGTTCTTACAGTGGGTTGGTGGGCAGGATTTTGTTCCTTTTCTTCACAAACTGTCAGTTTTAGGAGAAGTAACAGCTGCTCTTCCTGAGTATCTTCTGGGTTCCAAGCCCCATTCTAGGTACTTTACATATATAATTTATAACTCTTACACCCTGCTAAGTGGCCATTATTGTCTCCATTCCTTTAGATGAGGAAACCGAGGTACAGAGAGAAGTACCAAGTTTAAACCTGAATTTAAATTCATGACTGCTGATTTTAATACTATCACTGATTTCTATACTACCACTCTTCCTATTTAGGGATTATCTAGTGTAGTCCTTTCATTTTACAGGTAAGAAAACAGAGGCCTAGGGAGGGGAAATGACTTAACAAACATTAGCTAAGCCTGGAACCAGACTTTGTGACTTTTATGTCATTGCTTGCCCATCTAACCCCTTCCCCAGTATACAGCCCCCATCCATCTATCCAGCCAGCGTTTATTGAATGCCTTTTCTGTATTTGGCATTGAGTTTAACTCCTCTTTCTGCTTATTCTCAGTTATGTGTTTTCTATACTTATGTAGGGAATCAGGATGTTTCCTAGTGAAAAACTCTTGTTTCCTATATGTTAAAAAGTTTTCCTCTTATTTTAAGCTCAGCCCATGCTAATTATAGGTAGTCCCTGACTTAGGATGGGGTTCTGTTTCAAGGACTTCCTCATAATTTTGTTTAACGTAAGTCGAATACTTCATTTATTTTCCTTAGTTTTCATTATTATTGCCTTTTATTATCAGTATCTTTATAAATCCAATCTTTATTTGTCTTTGGGAGTTAGAAACGTTACATATAACCTTAAAGCTATCTTTTAATAAGTACATATATACGTATATAAAAAAAATACACAAATCATAAAAATGTACTCCAACAATGAAGAAGAGTTGAACCATGTTGGCATTTTGTCAGTTGCAGTAATAACTCCACGTATGGAAGGCTATGGATCATCTGGATTATCCCTGGGAATGCAGATGGCATTTCTAATCAGAAAGTTAGTGACAGTTGTCTGTGTGGTCCTTTTCTTTTTTGCTTCGTATTATTTCGTGGTAATATCTCACTGCTTCCCAAATCTGCCATTTGACTTTAGTAAAGCGATCAGTGTTGGGGTCCCTGTTTTCAAACAACTGAAGCCCCTGATTTAGTTTAGAAAACGGTATGTATATGGCAGTGTTTTGAACAGTAAATCATAAAATTGAACGTTTTTGAGTGAACACCTGAGAATGATAACATCAGCAAATTATGCACTGCAACATTGTTTGTAGCACATACTACTAACAGTAAGAGGTACAAAGAAAAAAAAGGAACGGACATTCGTAAGTGCGTTCGTTGTAACTCTAATACGTTGTAAATTGGGGACTACTTGTTCTTAATTCTTAGTCTTTGAAGTCTTCTGTTTCATCTCAGTTTCTCTACCTGAAACTATGACTCTTCTTAGCAGTTACATGGAGAAATAGCACCAACAAACATTTGTGGATGATGGGTGACATTTGTGCTGTATTTTTTATTCATAATATTCTTACATCAACCCCATGAGGGGAGGGCGTGTATGCGTAAATATTAAGTCCAAAGTACAGGTGAGGAAACTGAGGCTTAGAGAGGGTGAAGAACTTAGTTTAGGTCCAAAGCAGTAGAGCTGGAGCCAGAACAAATGTTTTCTGAGCTCAGATTCTGAATTTTAGTTAAAATGGAATTGTGAGGCTTTTAAGAGACATAATCTATTGGTCTGTCACCTTATTTTTCCCAGTAAGTGCTTCCCAATGTTTTGGGGTTACCAGCGTGATAGTACTGGGTTTGAATCCCTGCTCTGTCAATTACTAACATTGTCGTCTTGGATATGGCATTTACGTTCCTGGAGCCTCTGTTTTTCTTTATGTGTAAAATAAGGTTAATGATACCTGCTTTGCAGTAGTAACTGTAATAACAATAGCAGTAGCTAACAATTAATTTATTGAGGACTTACCGTGTACTAGGCACCCTTCTAAGCTCCTTATGTACCTTGACTTAATTAATTCCTCCGGTAAACCTATGTGGTAAATACTTTTATCATCCTTTTTTTTTAAATAGCAGATGATGAAACAGGCACAGACTGGCTAAGTCACTTGTTCAGGGTCTCACAGGCAGTAAATGCCAGGTAGACTGGGTGAGGAACTTGCATTCTTAACTACTGTATAATCTCTCAGTAGATAACTTTTTAGGGTTAGGCAAGGATCAAAGATAATACAAATAAAGCTCCTTGCTCAGAGCTTGGCATTTAGTAGGCACCCAGTAAATGGAAGGTTTTGTTGTTTGTTATCTCAATGTTGGGAGATGATTTTCCCAGCTCTCTCATTGAGATTGACAGGCAAGCGTCTTGGGGAGACGGTGGAGAAGGCACTGTGGAGGGAAGAAAAAGGGCAAGGAGGAGGAAACACATTTATTGTGCTTCCTATTATGCAGCAGGCATTTGACAGTTTCACAGCAACTATTTGATGGGATGGTGGTTATCCTTGTTTTATAGATAGGGAAGCTGGGGCTCAGAGAGGTAAGTGACTTACCTAATATCATGCAGCAAATAAATGGGAGAATTGGATTTTAACCCACTTCTTTTTGACTTTTATTCGTGTGACTTGATCAGAGGCAGTTGGCATGAGTAGCTGGAGAGTCATATCAACTCCCAGGTCACTTCCATGAGCACCAGGGCCTTTTCCCCTAGCACAGACCCTGCCTGCATTTCCTTGTTGGCTTCTCTGAGCTCTTGGGAAGAACATAGAGGTTTTTTTTTTTACCACTTAAATCACCTTGGAGATACAGAAAATGTAGTTTAGAATTGTGTAGTCATTATCTTAAAAAAAGTAGTGAGTGGGGCAATGGGTTGTGGGATAAATTTGTATGGAAATATGGTGACTCTTCGGAATTTGTGTATGTTTAGGTATTGAGAGGCATATTTCTCCTTGTTCTCACTGAAGCTGTAAATATTGATCTGATTTTTCAAAACCAGAAATACAGTTCTTGTAGAGTTGAGTCTTTTCCGTTGGAAATGCCTGTTACTTTTCAGGATACAAGAGGGAAAAATGACTGGCAAATATATTTATTACCGATTCTCCCCATGTACGGATAGTACAATTCAGGGAGGGGAAATGTGCCGGAGAAAAAGTCATAAATATTTATATTTTAATCCAATTTCCTTTCAAAATGTTCCCAATTGTATTGAAAAATTGCATCAAATGCATTTAATTTAACTCTAGGACGTGAAAGCCGCCCAAGCAGAACTGGAAAAGGCCTTTAGAGGGACCGAAAAGGAGAAGGCTCTTCGGCTGAGCTTGGAAAACAAGCTTTTAGAGATGAAGAAGATGCATGAGGGTGACTTGAAGATGGCTCTGGTCCTGGAGGAAAAAGACAGGTCTGATTCTTCTTCCTGTGATACTCTGACATCTCATTTATCTGGTAGCATGGGGAAAGAATTGTTCCCTTTCCCTCCCTCCTCTCCTTGTTCCCCACAGAACTTTAGTGACTTACTGGAACATGTCCAACACAGTGAGATAGAAAACTAGGATTAAATTAGAATGAAAAGAAAAGGGGTAGAATAGTGACATGAGGACAGAGAGAGTTAGGAGATAGAAACTCATGCTGGAAATTTCTACTCAGATACTAAATTTAGAATGTAGTTTTGCTGTAAGCTTCCTGGTAGCCGTAGGAAGATGGGAAAAACATTCTTGGTGGACACCAGAGTCACATTGCTCACAAGATTAAACGAACCAGTAACTCAGGATAAGCCCAGTTTTTCTTGGCACTATCAGAGAGAAATTTAAATTTCTCTTTGGATCTTCATAAAAGGAACAGTGAATGACTACATCCCCACAATGATTACTAGTGAATTTTGTTTGCCCTGTTTTTCATCATCTTTTTTTTTTTAAATTTAATTTTGTTGTCGTTGTTGAGAATATACACAGCAAAACATACACCAATTCAACATTTTCTACATATACCATTTAGTGACACTGATTACATTCTTCGAGTTGTGCAACTGTTCTCACCCTCCTTTTCTGGGTTGTTGCTTCTCCATTAACCTAAGCTCACTGCCCCCTAAGGTTCTTGTCTAATCTTCCAAGTTGCTGTTGTCAGTTTGATCCCACATAGATAGTTCTTAAGAGAGCTTAATGCTCAAGGCAGACATTTTTTACTAGTTAAGCTAAACTGTTGTTTGGCTTTAACAAGACTTCAGAGGATATTTTTGGTTTAAAATTTAAAGATCATCTCAGGGCAATAGTTTAGGGGTTCATCCAGCCTTCATGGCTCCAGGAAGTCTAGAGTCCATGAGAATTTGAAATTCTGTTGTGCATTTTCTCCCTTTTGATCAGGAGTCTTCTATAGGATCTTCGATCAAATGTTCAGTAATGTTAGCCGGGCACCATTCAGTTCTTCTGGTGTCATGGCAAAGGAGGCAGTTGTTATGGAGGCAATTAGCCGTACATTCCGTATCCTCCTCCTATTCCTGCCTCTCCTTCTTCCTCTGTTGCTCCAGACAAATAGAGACCAATTGTCCTGCCTTGGATGTCTGCTTGCAAGCTTTTAAGACCCCAGGCACTAGGTAGCAAACTATGAGGTAGAACAGAAGCACTAAAAATGATATTAGGCCAATTAACTGGGATGTCTAATGAAACCGTGACCCTAAACCTCCAAACCAAGAAACCAAAGCCCATGAGGCTTTTGATTGTACACAAGCAGCCTCGGCAGCTATTCCCTTTTTTTTTTTTCCCTGTTGTTGTTGTAAATGTATCTATCGTGCAGCTTTTGCCAGTTCAACTTTTTACAGGTGTACAACTTAATGACAGCAATTACAATAATCAGCTGTGCAGCCCTACCCTTAATCAATATGATTTTTCTATCACTGTTAACCCTCCTGTCCCCCACCCCTCCTACCCCTCCGTCCGTCCATTGCCATTGAGTCGATTCCGACTCATAGTCATCCAATAGGACAGAGTAGAACTGCCCTATAGAGTTTCGAAGGAGTGCCTGGTGGATTCGAACTGCTGATTTTTTGGTTAGCAGCCCTAGCCTAGCACTTAACCACTACGCCACTAGGATTTCCCTGCTGCCCCTGGTAACCACTAATAAACTTTGGTCTCTATGCGTTTGCCTTTTCTTATCTTTTTATATAAGTGAGGTCATACAATATTGGTCCTTCTGTGACTGACTCAGCATAATATCTTCAAGCTCCATCTATACTGTAGCATGTATCAAGACTTCGTTTCTCTTTCTGGCTAAGTAGTATTCCATTGTATGTATGTACCACATTTTATTTATCCATTCATCTGTTGATAGGCATTTAGGTTGTTTCTACCTTTTGGCTATTGTGAAGAGTACTGCAGTTAACATTGGTATCCAAGTCTCTGTCTGAGTCTCTGCTTTCTAGTCTTTTGGGTATATACCTAGGAGTAGAATTGCTGGATCATATGGTAGTTCTGTTTTTAGTTTTTTGAGTAACCGCCACACTGTTTTCCACGATGGCTGTACCGTTTTGTATTCGTGCCAGCAATGGATAAGTGTTCCGTTTTCCCCACATCCTTGCCAACATTTGCCATTTTCTTTCTTTTTTTTTTTAAATCTTAGCCATCTTAGTGAGAGTGAAATTGTATCTCTTTGTGGTTTTGATTTTCATCTCTGATGGCTAATGATGTTGAGCATATTTTCATGTGTTTGGTGGCTATTTGAGTGTCCTCTTTGGTGAAATGTCTATTCAAGGCCTTTGGCCATTTTATAATTGGGTTATTTATCTTTTTGTTGTTAAGTTGTCAAAGTTTTATATATATTTTGGTGAGTAGATTCTTATCAGATATGTGATTTCCGAAGTTATTCTCCCAGTCAGTAGCTTGTCTTTTCACTTTTTTGGTAAAGTCTTTTGATGAATACAAGTTTTTAATTTTTATGAGGTCCCATTTATTTATCTTTTGTTTTGCCGTTTGTGCTTTTGTTACTATATTAGATAATCCATTGTTGGAAGCTAGGCCCAACAGCATTGCCCTTGCATTTTCTTCTACAAATTTTATGGTTTTAGCTTGCACGTGTAGGTCCTTGATCCATTTTGATCATTATATCTTTTATGGCAGGCTCAGGGCCCAGATTAATACAGTGCAAGGGACCAAAACAATGTGGACCACATATAGAGCTCTTTGATAGTCTAAGAATAAAGTATGTGTCGTTTAGCCCAGAGAGATGGATGGACCAAATGGACATTATGTCTTGCAACTAAACTTTTGATAAAAACTGGTCAGGAGACGAGGTTTTATTCTTTGCCATGAACCTTATATTTTGACCCTCTCGTTTTGCTTTGACAGTCACTTAGTGAAAGATTGAGTTAACTAAACAAAAGCAAAACTTTGAGCTAACTAGTGACCTATCCACTGAAGAGCCAAGATTATTTGGATTTTAATAAAAATTGTTCAAAAACAAATGACCTACTTTCTGCTTCCTTAAACAGAGGATACTGACTATGGCTACTTTTTCTTGGTGGCTCAGTACCAATGCATTGACAAGCCCACCATGTTGTTTAGGTTTGTGCCTAATTGTCTTGGATCCCCAACTGCTGTTCCCTTTATTTCTCTCTTGCTCCCACTTTTTGAGCTTTGAATCTGCTGCTTGTGTTTATTTATGGGTTGGGAAATCAGAGCAAACCTTTTAGCATTATCTGTAAAAGAGGAATAAATAGGCTCTGAGGGAGAGTCCATGGTCTCCTTTTATTGAAGTGCCCTAGCTTTGACGTTTAGAGGGGCTAGCATTTATTTGCTGCTCTGTGACCTATTCTTAGCTTTCATCTGGAAAATTGAACTTTTGGGATTAATAATCTCAGGATTTGTGAGGACACTGAGTTTTCTATGAGGTGTAGCACCTGAGCACAGTGAGTAAGTGAACATCAGCTTGGTTTAGATTACCCATTTGAGACCTTGTGTTTTTCTTGACTTCATGGCTAGGAAGAGGAGCCTCCCTGGAGGTGTGCCCTTTTGGTGACCACCCCCCGCCCCCTTCCCCAGTACAAGCCTTTTTTCTGGCACCATCTGTGGAGACTTTGGAACCACTGAACTGTGAGAAATGACAGAGTTGGAGCCCTTCTCCCAGGAATCATTTCTATTTTCCCCTGTATCTCTCCTAGATTATTGGCACTGAAGCCCCTAGAAGGTTTATGGGCTTGTCTTTTGTGGGAGTAAGAAAACGGGACCTGAGGGAGTTACAATTCCCCAGCAGGTAAACTGGGATAGGGAGCCTAGGAAGTACAATGTGTGGGGCAGCCACCAAAGAAGAGAAGACAGTTCCTGGGGCCTGTTAAGGGGAAGAAAGGAGAGAGTCTGAGGGTAAGGTTGAAAAGAGTCCCTGAGAAAGGCCCTGTGAGGATCCTGACAAATTCTCACCAGTTAATTCACTGGTTCTATTGGATCATTATATCCTTTATTTAACAAATATTTATCTTTATTTAACAAATGTTTACTGAGTATCTTCTTCTCAACATAGTGGTGATTAGAATATAGGTGTGGTACAGACCAGATCCTAAATTTAAGCTTATCGTCTAGCTAGGTGGAAGGGCCGGAGGGTGGGACAGAGTGATAAGGGCTAGATGAGATAAATGCTGGGTTAAGATATGTATCTGAGTCAATTTAGGAGGATTAGGGAAGGCTTCCTGGAGGAAGTGCTAGAATGAGGAGGAATTACTTGGACAAAAAAAGGGAAAAAAGGGTGTTCCAGGCACAGGAACCGAATGTGTGAAACTCCAGAGGCAAGAGGGAACACAGCATGATCAAGGAACTGAAAGAAGTACTGATGGTTGGAGTGTTGTGTTCTGGAAGGGAGGTGGGAAGAGATGAGGAGAGGGAAGCTGGGACAGATCATGTCGACCTTGTTGAAGAGTTTGAGTTTGTGTATATAAGAGGAGGGTGGAGGTGACAGGATCAGATTTAAATTTCAAAAGATCTCTCTGGCTGCCTTATGGATAATGGATTGGTGGTGGAGTTGGGTAAGGAGATTGGTTCTGAGGCTGATGCAGAAATCTAGAGATGATGGTGGCTGGGACCAAAATGATGGAACTAGGGGTGGAACAGGCAGAGAGAGATACTTAGAAGGTAGAATTGACTTGCTGGGATTGAAGGGCCTGTTGAGTGATTGGATTTGGGAGATGAAGGAGAAGGCTGTGTGAGACCACCTCACCGAAGTCTTGGGCATGAACAACTGTGGGATGGTAGTGCAGTTTGCCAAGTTTGGGGGAAAAAAGGGAGAAGGGGAGATGTTTTTGGGTGGAGGGGGTAAGGTGATATTTTCAGTTTTGACATATTAGGTTTGAGGGATCTTTGGATACTTGAAGAGTATAGTCTAGGAGGTGGTTGGGTATCTAGCTTTAGGCTTGAATTAAAGGAGGTATAGATTCATTCATTAACCAGCAACTGAACATTGCTTTGTGTTGGGGGTGTTGGAAGTGCCGAGGTGAACACTGTCCTGCTTACATGGTGCTCCCACCTTGGGGGCAGGATAAATAATTCATTGTGATTGGTGCTATGCTAGAGTAAGTTCAGAGCTCAGCGCTGTGACAAAAGAAAGGGAGTGATCAGCTTTGCTTCGGTGTGGGGCTTTTAAGGACTGAGGGTGGGGATGAGGAAGCCTTGTCAAGCAGGGAGAACAGCCCATGAAAAGGTATGGAACCTGGCGCATTTCAAGGTCATCACAAAGGAAAGTCTCTGTTAGCATATGCCACAGAAACTTAGCATCTCATCTTTTTGGAAGAGGAACTTCGGGGAGGGTTAATGTTTATTGGGTACTTAACTGACGTTTCCGTGGAAGTGAGTGGTCAGGGCGGGGCCTTGCTAAAGCCTGTATGTTTCTAGGGTTTCCCATGGCCTAGGTCTGGCCCTACCTGAATATGTACAGAAACCTGATTAGTCAGTACTGTGAAACCATCTGTCTGTCAGGGGTAGATGTACTCTGATCACACTCCCAGAGACTGATGCAACAGCTGGATGCCAACTCCGGATGCTTGCTGAGGGTGTGACTCTCTTTGTGGTAGAACTCCCCTGGGACTGGGATCAGCGTGTTCCCTCCCTGAAGGCAGGCCTGCCTAGGACACTACATCCAGGTTCAGGTTAGTTGCTAAGCACTGAGTTGCAACAGGGGTTCTTGGTTATGCCCTGGTGAAATGGAACTAGATCTGTCACACAGGTTGACCCATTGTTGAGCAGGGTAGAGTGTTGAACCCTTAGTGCCGAGGGCGCCACTTGGATGGGCACTGCCAGTGTCTTTCTAGGTTCATGCTTTAGCTACTTTATCCTTCAGTCTGGCCTTTTCAGTAGTCTTTATCTTTAAGGCAGTCAAAAGTGAGGAGCCCTGCAAGCCAATATGGCCAACAGATACATTTTATTTGGCTTACATAGTGTTTTTAAAAATTTGAATTAGTTGCCAGTATTTAAAAAAAAAATCTAAATTCATGTAAAAGTCTGGATTTCCAGCTTCTCTTGAAAACCTGGAAGATGTGGCAGCAATGGGCCATTTCTTGCTGGATGGAGGCTGCTCCCTTGGATGGGCCTGGTGCTCCAACATGGCCATAGTCTCCACCTGACCCGCCTCGCTCCTATTTCTAAGCTTTGAGGGACATTTCAGTGTTACTGCCTGGTACCTTCTATACCCAAGGCATTGCTGGGTGCTTTACCTACTTTTATCTCACTTTTTGTTCAGGGAGCTGGTACTTGTTAGATTTGCATGTGCCTTTCTCTCTGCTTGACAAGGCTTCTTCATCCCCACCCTCAGTTCTTAAAAGCTCAATGCCCAGGACTCCTCCTCTGATAAACCTTCCCTGCCCCACACCCAAGCAAAGCTGATCACGCTGTCAGATTTCCTTGCCTTTGCTCTTTCTATCAAACCAAGTTGCTTTCTAGGCTTAACTGCAGAAAGCCTCTTCTGAGGGTCCTCTGATAAAATGTTAATTGCCAAATATTCAAACAAGTAATAATTTAAATGGACGAATTGTATGGTATGTGAACTATATCTCAGTAAAGCTGTTTGAAAACAATCAAATGATCATGTGTGAAAAAAACAGTAATAATTATAACAACTGTCAATTATTGAGTTCTGCCATATGCCAGGAGCTGTGTAGAGCTGTATTAAATAGCTAATCTCTAGGCCACACAAACAAGTTATTATCCCCATTTTATAGCTGAGGAAGTGTAGGCTCAGAGAGGTTAAACAACTTGCCATGGTCAAGGGCAGTTGATACAGGGTATTATGGTAGCTCAGAGAAGGATGCGTTCAGCTCTACCTGATGGCGGTACTAGGGGTGTGAGTTGGCAAAGCTTACTTTATGATAGGCGATGCTTAGCTAACTGCTGCAGGACTAACAGTGTTTATCAGGTGCAGGTGGGAGTAAGGTTGGGAAGGGCATTCTAGGTAGAGGGAATAGTGTGGGCAGAGGTCTAGAGGCATGAAACTGCTGGGCTTATAGAGGGAACTGCAAGTGAGGTTGGTCGGTAGTGATGGAGAGGGTAATGGTTTCCTGTAAGAGATGAGACTGAAGCTGTCACCAGGAGCCTCTGATCTTCTAGGCCCTAAAATCTAGGGCCTTGAATGTCTTACTGAGGAGTTTAGACTTTATGTTGAAAGTGAGTATGTTTTTTCACATTCACTGGAACAGCTCTGCTTTATTGGTTGTGTTTGGGCTTTGGGGCCCAGTTTCTTTTGGAAAAAGGATTTCTTTGGATGGTGGGGCTGTTGAATGTTTTTGAGCAGGGGTGTGACTAGATCAGACCATGGTCTGGCAGCTCAGAGATTGGCTCAGCTAGCTAGGCTGCAGGCAGGGAGACTGGTTAATGTCACATGAATTCTGGCCCTTAGTCTCCGACCTGCAAAATGTGATTCCGTTTATGTTCAGTCATTGGACATGTCTGCTTTGAAGATGTCTGACCCCATTTCCTACCTCCTTCGGCTCCACTGAGCTAAGAGAACAGCTTAGAATTAATATTTAAATTTTGTTCTTTTTCAGACTGATTGAGGAGTTGAAGCTGTCTTTGAAGAGCAAAGAAGCTTTAATTCAGTGCCTTAAAGAGGAGAAATCTCAGATGGCATCTCCTGATGTGAATATGTCATCTGGAGAGCTCCAAGGACTTTCTGCTCCTCTAAGGGAAGAAAAGGAAAGAGAAACTGAGGTGAGGAAACAGGACATGGAGGGGGTACTTTAATTAGCAGACCATACTCCTCTCTGGGAAATGGAATACACCTCCATTCCCCATGGTTCACTCACAGTCTGCTTCTAAATATTAGCTCCTTGTCAGCTGAGGGATAGCAGAAACTGCTTTTGTCAGGGCCTGGTTTTTTTTCTTCCCCCTCCCCAGCCTTGTGTTTTAAAGAGTTAGTTAAAAGACAGTCTCATATCTGCTTGCCTCTGTTTCACCATTTGCTAATTTGTTATTGTCTGGGGCCTTTATTTTCATCCTTTGGGTTTTCTAAGGATAAAATTGTGGTACATTGTACATGTCCCTTTTATTTGCATGATTAGAGGCAGCTTAGGCCAGCTTTGCTCTGAAACTTCAGAGGCAGTGGAGGAAGAAAACTAACTTGTATTGGGCCTGGTAGCACATGAAAGGTTTCAGCTTCCCTTCTCATTTAATCCTCCTGGTCAGCTTGCAAGAGCTCACAGTCCCCTCGTAGAGTTTAGAAACAGGCCCAGAAGAGTTATATTTTTTCAGGCTCCAAGAGGTGGGCTATTAGTAGCTGCCTCCAAAGCCTCTCTGGACTTTTCCTCCCACACTGGGCAGCCTCCACGGCAAACCATTTTGGAGAGGGTGAGCAGGACTGGGAAACTCAGGTAGGCCTTGGTTGAGACCTTCCATTCCTGTGAGGCTAAGAGTGACTGCTGCATGTGGTACCATCACAACAGGGGATGTTCTGGATGTTCATGAAAAGCCTTGGTTTCTTTATAGAACATAGTCTTTGTTCCCACCACCGTGATGCGTTCTTTAGCCTCATCAGTTGTTTTTTGCTTGCAATCAGCTTCTCATTTAACCCTCTTTCCCACTTACCAGGTGCTTTCCTTTAGCATGCCTTTTCCATTTTGTTTAGCAGCACCTTGGTCTACACTCTGTGGGGTTGGTGATCAACTAACGGGGATTACTTGTCTTTACAATTCTCTCAAATTGGGTGGGTCTTTGGATGGGATAGAGAGAAGGAGGGGACACTTCTGTTCTAATGAGTTGCAAAGCAGTGGAGGAAAGTAAGTAAATGAGGCACTCATTCCATTTGTTCTAGGGAAACTATTGGAGGGAGGGTTCCTTGGCACCAATTAATGTCTTCTCTTAGGCTATACATATGGAGCATCAGAAGGAGAGAAATTGCTTTGAAGAGAGGATCCAGGTATGTTGATAAAATTTTTAAAAATTTATTGAAGGTTTACCCTACTTTTACCTCTTGTTTTATTCTGAGTTCTATAGATAATTCTGCGTGATGATAGCTGTCATTAAATGCTACTGTGTCAGTCAAGTTTTGGGCACTTTACAGAGGTCTTCTCAGTCTTTGCAATAACTGTCTTTGCACATGTGGCACCTGAGGCTCAGAGCAATGAGGTGACTTGACCAAGATCATATAGCTAGGAAGAGGTATAGCAAGGATTCATATCGGCCTGCCTGAACCCAAAGCCCATGCTCCATGCTCCCCGAGTCACAACAGCCGGCATTTGTGTAGCGCCTGCCAGCCTAGAAGGCACTTTCACATCCATTATCTTGTTTAATCCTCACAACAGCCTGGGAGGGAGGCAGTGGTGATTATCTTTTGAAATGAACTCAAACTCTAAATGTATAGTTTAGTCTCCATCACACCAAATTCTCTGCTAGCTTTTGTAGCATTAAGGAATGAAATTAATGATCTGTTCTTTCCCCCGAATAACCTGGTATGGTTTCGAATACTCTGATGTGATGGTATTCAAATTCCAGAGGGCATTGGAGTCCTTCCCATAGAAGAGCTGTCATCATCTTAACTGATCTGATCCCATCCTTTCACCCACTCCTATTGCCGTGAGCGCTAACACAGTAACTTGGAGCTGAAGCCACTACGTTCAGCTCTACTTGGAAACATTAATCACAGGTTGACAGGAATAAGATAGAGTAACTCCATTTGAGTGTGTTCTTAAAGATATATTTACAGTGCATTTTGGTTGGAACGCATCAACTTAGTGAATCTTTTTCTAATCTAATTTAGGCACTTCAGGAGGACCTAAGAGAGAAGGAAAGAGAAATTGCTACAGAAAAGAAGAATAGTTTAAAGCGGGATAAAGCCATTCAGGGTCTAACCATGGCATTAAAATCAAAGGAAAAAGAGGTATGTCTGATGTACCTGAAGTGAGATTTTTCTTTATTAGCTGCTGTGACTGGCCTGTCCTGCCCTGAATTTTTAGCTTCAGGTAAAAAGTTTATAAGAGAGATGAGATGACTATGGACAGTGGGGAAGTGGTCCTTTAGTCAAATGGAAATTCTTTTCACTTGTCTAATCTAGCGTTCAGGAGCCCTGGTGGCATAGTGGTTAAGTGCTCGGCTGCTAACCGAAAGGTCAGTGGTTCAAACCTACCAGCTATTCCGCAGGAGAAAGATGTGGCAGTCTGCTTCTGTAAAGATTACAGCCTTGGAAACCCTATGGAGCAGTTCTTCTCTGTCCTATAGGGTTGCTGTGAGTTGAAATCGACTTGATAACAGTGAGTTTTGGGTTAATCCAACATTGTCCAGTAGAAATATAGTATGAGTTACATATGTAATTTTAAATTCTCTAATAACCATATTAGAAGTAAAGAGACACGTGAAACTGATTTTAATAATATATTTTATTTAACCTAATATATCCAGAATATTATCATTTCAACATGTAATCAATAAAACAAAATTATTAATGAAGTATTTGGCATTCTTTTTTCCCACTCTTTATAGCACATCTAAGTTCAGTCTAGCCGTATTTCAAATACCCAGTAACCACATGTGGTTAGTGACTACCATATTGGACAGTGCAAGTCTAGGCTTTCGAAAGACAACAGGAAATTGAGATAAAGGAATTGAGATAAAGGGCAAGGCCATGACTATGAACCCATTAGATAGCTACCTGGGTTGTTGCCTTAGGGATCCATGGTGGTGGCTGACAGTTTTATGCTAGTTTTCTTGTCTTTAGTTAATATAGCAATCTCTTGTGTCCCAGTAACTGTGCTAGACACAAACGCAGAGGTGAAAACCCAGCTCTCCTTACACGTCTGATGGGGAAGAAAGATGAAGAGTGATGGATGTTGTGACTGAGGGAAGTGCAGGGGCTGTGGAAGCTGAGGGAAGGGTATCTAATACAGATTAAAGTGTACATGTGCAGGATGGGGAGTGGTACTTAGACGAGAATATGCCTGAGCTGAATCTTAAAAGGGTGAGTAGGAGTTAGTTGGGAAGGGAGGCAGGGGCGGGGAGGCCATTCCAGACACAGGAGAGAACATTGGCAAAGGATTGAGTTAGGAAAGAGCCTACTCTGTGTGTGTGGAACCATAAGCTTTGGGGTTGCCAGAGCCTAAAGTACAAAATTTAACTGAGGCAAGAGAGGAAGCTGGAGAGATTGCAAGGGGCCAGCCAGTGGTGGTGGAATTAGTCAATCATATTTAGCTGCTTGGGTGACGTGCCACTGAAGGCTGTTAAAGAGGAGGTGTGTGATCACATTTGCATTTTGAAAAGGTTTCTGGCTTATACTGGGAGAGTGGATTGGAGGAGGGAGATAATGGGGGCAGGTAGGCCAGTGCCCCAAGTGAGAGCCAAGGAAGGCTGAATTAGAGCTGTGGCCATAGCAAATAGGAATGGAGAGGGAGGGGCTTCTTTCAAGGAATATTTAGAATTTGGGAAAATTTGATGTTAAGATGTAGAACTTCAGAGAAGGTATAGTCAAGGATGACTTCTAGGTATCTGGCTTGCTTGACTAGGGGTATGGTGGTGTCACCAGCTCAGTTAAAAGCATAGAAGATGGAATATGATGGTGAGATGGGGCGTGATGGTGGAGCTGATGTGTCCTTTTAGATAGTATGGTCTTTGAGGAGCATATGGACCATTTATTTGAGCTGTGCTCAGGCCTGGAGATGTAGACCTGGGAATCACTCATTTACAGATGAGAATTAAAATTCTGAAATTTGGTCTCCTTATCCAAGGAGTGTGTATATAGAGTGGGAGAGAAGAAGGCAGAAGATGGCACAGTAGGAAACATCAAGATTTCAGGGATAGGAAGAGTAATGCACAAAGGAGACAAAAGGAATGGTTGCAGAAGTATGAAGCTAACCAGGAAACTGTGACATTGAAGAAGCCACAGGAGTGCAAGCGTTTGAGTAGTCATCAGTGTCAAATGAGATTTGATTCATAATAACAGTTGTATCATGTGCACAGGGCCCAGCTGACGTTGGAGAGCTTCAGTATGTTGCAGGACAAGCATTTCGGGTGTGCAGAGACAAGAGGCACCAGTGGTGCAACTGTTCTGGGTGCTGGCAAAGTCCAGGGTGTGGCCATGGTAGTTCGTGGCTGAACTGGGATATAGGAGAAGGTCACTAGAGGATGAGGAATTCTGGGAATAGCCAGGCTAGGTTGTTGGGTGGGCCATCTGTTTATGGACAAAAATAATAACACCTTCTATGAGCCAGGCTTTATGGTAGCACTTACACATACTACTTCATTTAACACTAGCAATCCTATAACTGGGGGAGTGGTGGTATCCTCGTTTTATAGTTGAGGCAGTTGAGCCTCAAAGAGGTTAAGTACCTTGCCTGTTTGCCTAGTCATCCAGCTAGTAAGCAGCCAGACGAGAAATCCCACTCAGGTTGTGTCTGACTACAAAGCCCTTCATCTTAAGCACTTCACAATTGAGTGGGAAAAGCATTTGAGCTGTGCAGAAAGAAGAGAGACATTTGCATGCTGGCTGCCATTCCTTATTTTTCCCCAGGTTGAAGAACTTAACTCTGAGATCGAAGAGCTCAGTGCTGCCTTTGCTAAAGCCAGAGAGGTCTCCCAGAAAGCACAGACCCAGAAATTCCAGGTAAAGTGTTCACTTTGGCTTATGTGGCTGTCTCTTTAATCTTTACTCCTGGTGAGGTCAGGACTTTGCAGCTGAAAGGAACTTGGATGATTTTGCTAAGAAAAACTATGGGTGGTCTTTAGTAATAGAATTAGCTCAGTCTAATTAAAGGGAAATTCTCCATGGGATTTGGGTGCTTCTCCAGGCCCCTCATCTGTGTTCTCTGTGCTGGGTAATTCCTGTCTGGGAAACAATGGAAGAGAGTCAGACTCCTTGACTCATGATAATGATAATGACAGCAGCTCCCACCACAGTTAGGAGTGCTGAGTTACTCTGTGCCAGGTAGTGGACTGTGCAGCATATATGGGATATCTCATTTAATCTTTAGTACAACCCTGTGGGGAAGGTAATTATCACCTTACCCATGTATTTGTGGGATTATTGAGGCTCAGAGAGGGTATGCAGCTTATTCAGTGTCACACAGCTAGCAAGTGGCAGGGCCAGGATTTAAATGTAATAATTGCTAGTAATAACAGGTGGTGTTTACTGAACATATACTATGTGCCAAGACCTGTGCTAAGCACTCTCCATGGATTATCTCAATTAATCTGCACAATTGCTCTATGAAGTAGGAACTATTAATATCCTTGTTTTACTACTGAGGAAACCCAGGTTCAGAGAGATTGAAGTAACTAGCCTAGAGTCACAAAACTGGTAAGTGATAGAGTTTGGATTTGACCTTAGAGCCACTGTCACTCCAGAGCCTGTACCTGTCATCCGGTACCTCTTCTCACCTGGATTCTTCAGTTCTGCCTGCTCCCTGCCAGATGTCTGTTCTCTCCTCTCTACAAACAGTATGAGTTCCAGGTTTTGATGTTTTTGACCTGCCTTTTCTCTTTTTTCCCCTAAGTTGTACTGCAAGAACTCCTGCTTAGGTCATCCCTGGTCTTCCTTCTCTTTTCCTAATTTTAGTTTTGTTTCTAATTATTTCTTTTAACATGTTTCAAGATTACATATATAGTGTATATCTGTTGCTAATAACTTAATGAATCATAAAAGTTCCATCATCTGAATAAATCCCTACTGCCTAAGGCTCCCCCTTCTCACTCCCTCCAGCAATGTTGCTTTTGGTTATAAAGTAGAAGTTAAAAGTTAAACCTAATTTAAGACTCTTTGGTTCCTAAGATTCATATCCCATGCCTTATCTTTTGCATAGCTTTGTTTCACACTAAGAATAATGGAAGTAATTTGGTTTAAATCATGAAGTGCTAGAAGCATAGATAAATCTCTGCCTTTGGAATCTCAGACTTGCTTTCCCCCACCGTTTTGACAGTGGTTGATGAAATGGAGCTGAGGTTAAACTTTACACTTGAGATTTTTTTTTCTTTGCTTAGGAAATAAGTTTTCAAAGCTAAATTCTTAGGAAGACCATCCATATTTCCCAGTGCTTGAGAAAAAAAATCAGAAAAATGGTATCAGTTGACAATCAGAGGCACCAGACATCCTTAGAAGCATTATGATATTTTACTTATTATGTTGGTCCATGAAGGAGAGAAAGGAGTTTTTTATAAATTAATGTTACCCAAATGTATTATAGATTTACTAATTTTATACCCCTCAGTCCTAGGCTTTAGGAATGATATTTGAGGTCTTCTAACGCAGTGTTGGCCAGGTTTCTTGTCTTGCAGTGCACATGGATCAGGAATTTTTGAAACTCCTCAGATTCTCCATGTCAGGTTGGCTCTTTGGAGAGCCCTTATTTAATCCTGACTGCCACACATGGAGACAGTGTGTTTACTAGTGTCACAGGTTGCCAGGACTTGATACTCAAGTTTTAATTCCAAAGCCCATGTTCTCTCTACTACTCTAATTGTGTGTGTGAGTAAATGCACAGAATACACTTATTCAGATTTCAGCAGTTTGACATGTACTCATTTATGTGTGTAAGTGTGTGTCTTTAGTTTTCTGCTACCCAGTCTTTATAAACAGCTACATATAATCCATTGTATGGAGGTACCATATTGTTTTTACTGGGAAGAACATGGGTGGGATGTAACCCATCACATGATACATGACTCTGCTTTGCACTAACTGTGTAACTCTGGGCAAGGTATATGAGTTCTCCCAGCCTCTTTGCACATTGTAAAATCTAGATAATCACATTTATATCACATAATCTTTACAAAGATTAAACAAGAAAGTATGTGGGCACAAGATAGTAACTCAGTAAATGTTGTTAGCTCACCTTTAAGCCAGTGGTAAAATCTTTTGGCATTAACATATTGTGGTTACAGTCACATGCTGCATAATGTCCATTTGTGCAGTGTCCAACCGCATATACATTTGTGGTCCCATAAGATTATAATAGAGTTCAGAAATCCCGGATTGGAAAATGGGACATAGTGGATGTAAATGGACGTAGTGAATGCAGCAGCTTCCGACCTGCAACGTGTGTATCTCCTGCCTCTTGTATACAAAGCGACTGTATTTGCGCCGCCAGGAGTATAATGATACAGTACGTATATAACCTGTAATACACATGTCTTGATAGTCATTATAAACACCTATGTTACTGGCTTATGTATGTCCTGTACTTTCTGTTATTTTAATGTGAACTTTTTCTGCTTACAAATAAAAAGCTTACTGTATAACAGTGTATTGTATACTTCTACTCGTAGGCAGCAGCATCCAATCTCGTGTTTTGTGCGTCTCGAGTGTTGAAGCATTTTTCTTTCAATTTTCTTTTGAAAATATTACTGTGAAGCACATTGTGCCTCCCAAACGCAGCAAAACCAGTGCTAGTGATAGCAGTAACAAGAGGCAAAGAGGTTATCAATTTGGAAGTGAAACAAAAGGTTATTAAACAACATGAAGGTGGAAAATCAGTGAATGCTGTTGCTTGTTGATTTAGGCATGTTCGCACAACATCCAGTCACATAACGTCCTGTTTCACAGAAGGTGTCATGGACGTTAAGTGACCCATGACTGTACTGTGGTTTGGTTTCAGATTCCCTGTCTAGTGGTGTTATACACATAGCTTTTAGTTTGAGGAAGCTTTCTGTGTTCTCTTTTCATTGTGAGTGAAAGATAGTAAAGTGTAGGAAAAAGAAAACTTAGATTTACTTATCCTGCACCCACTGAAATGGTCTTTATGTATGGTATTTATTAATCTTCACAACTGCTTTGTGAAATAGAGATTATTACTTCCCATTTCACAGATGACAAAACTGACTTCAGGGAAGTTAACTTCTCCAGGTCACACAGCTAGAACTGGTCTTTGAACTCTGGGCTTTCTGACTCTCTTTTTGAAACTCAGCATGTTTCTGTACATGCTGTAGGGAAGAACGATTTGTTTTAATACTATACTTGGCCTTCAGTTTCCAGCTATGTGTAATTGGGCCAAATGTTTGTCCACTGTTTATAAGCACCTAACTGATGAAATAGAGATTCTAAAAAGCAGGACGTCATACAGACAAAGGTAAAAAGCACTTCAAAGATTTGCAAAGGGCCATTTAAGGAAAGTATTTTTTTGAAATGATGAGAGCGTATGAATTTGATTTTTTTGAGCTTGGATTTTTTAAGGGGCTTTTGCCATTATTACTTACATGGTAAATCTTACAGAACTTTCATCATTTTATAGTGACTGTGTTATTTTAATAATCTTTGCTGTCCTAAGTTTAACACACTCTAACTGGTGTTCCTACTTCTAGCCTTTCCCTCTTGAACTCAGTCTCCTTGTTTTAATTCTTGCTAGTTTATTGATGTTAATTGAAATCTTTGCTGGTAAGGGCAAGGCAGTATAGTGATGTGGAAAGAGAACAGACTGTGAAGTCTTTTGAATCCCAGATTTAATCACCTGTGGTCTGGTGACAAGCTAGTTATTTAACCTTTCTGAGTCTCAGTTACTTCAACCAAAAAATGGGGATAATAATGTGTAGTTTGTAGGGTTGGTATGAGAAGCGGAGACGTAATGTGTGTAAAGGCACCTGTTTAGCTCCTCGTATATAGTCAGTGTTAATGAAAACAGCTATGACTATTGTTCAAACTGAGCATTTCCCCAATCATCGTTTATCTTCTGTTGTTAGTTGAGTTTATTTAAATAAGCACCGCGCCAAATTTTTTTTCTTTGAACTTGTGACCTAGCTTTCCCACTTTAAAAAATTTATTTTAATTTCAAAGGAAACAAGAACAGAAGCTTATATAAAGCTTACTTTGAAATTTGAATGGAGTTCACCCTAATCTCTATTGTTGTGTCCTAAATAGCAGTTGTGTGCTAAATAGGACCGAGTGGCTGGGCTTTGGGTGGCCCAGGAACAGCAGAGCTTCACCGCTCCCAAATTAACTGTGGATGTAGCCCACTTCTCCTGAACAACTAAGTTGGATACCTGAATGACTAAGACTTAATAATCACACTGACTGAGATGTATTCCCTGGAAAGGCCAAGAAGCTGGGACTGGTCCCTTTGTTCCACAGTTGGACTTGTGACTTTGACATCTCAAGTGTTCCCTGTTTTTGAATTTTTAATCTTGAGCCTCAATCTAATTCAAAGGACAGCTTTTTAAAAAAACAAGTTTATTTTCTCCTGGTTATAAGCATTATATATGCTTCATAAATTTTTTTTGGAAGAGTAGAAAGGAGAAAAAAATGGGAAATCAGGAAGTCATCCAATGACTTGTAACATTTTTTTTTAATTGTACTTTAGATGAAGGTTTACAGAACAAATAGTTTCTCGTTAAACAGTCAGTACACATATTGTTTTATGACATTGGATAACAACCCCATGACATGTCAACACTCTCCCTTCTCGACCTTGGAGGACTTTTTTTTTTTTTT